CCAACAGAGTTTTCCTCTTCCAGGAAATAGCCCTGGGAATATCATTTGACGTTTTTATTGCATATGTACGCATGCTGGGGAAAGCCTCGAATATCCAAATCTACAAACAATATAATAACAAAATTAGTAATTGTTAAATAATTAATTATAATTTTAGAAACATATATAGAAATTCTTACCTTAAAGGCCCAAACAAAGCCTGACAAAGTGTATTTGGACCCATCGCCCCGCAACTTTTGCGGTCATCAAAGGCAGACGACAACTTAGTCCAGGTAGCTTTCCATATATACGAACCCCACGGAAACAGATTCTATGCATTCAGGTCCTCTACCAATATTATTAGCTCCCGATGAATAGGTTGTCTGGCCTCTCTGCCTAAAAAGCCGGCATACACAAGTAGTAGAAGGCATACTCGGACAACATCGACGTCATCCATCCGAGTGAAACCAGCTTTCTTATTAAACAATTTCTTCAGGTCGTCGACATGTAGGTTCGGCTTCTCCATTGACTCATCCGGAAAAACCCGGGATAACCATGATGGGCGGGCGATATGACGAGTGTACCGGCCTACATCATCGTGTCCGAATCGTAGACCAGTGATTAAGCAGAACTCCTTCCGCCCAAAACAAGTATACGCTGGTGGAAAATGAAACCATATCTCTTCCTCACCACGTTGTATACTGTCGGGTAGATTTGATGTCTGGTCTGAAGCCACAAATGGGTCAAATTAGCATCTCCACCCGGATGCTGTACTCTCAGCCATGGCCCGAAGCAGGTTTCCTCAAACAATTGTCTTTGAGCAGGTGAAAGCTTCTTTGCAATTGTAGTGGCCAGGCTGACTTTATTTCGCAAGGTCAATTGAGCCGAAAAAAATTTCTACAAAAACAATAAACATACCAAGTTAGATATACCAAAAACTACACTGTGAAGATATACCAAAAACATAAACATAAAAGTAGTAGTTTATTCTTGAAACTAAAATTTGCAACTCTGTTTTGTCTTTTGGTTGAAATGAAAATCGCAACGAGAGAATCGCAACGCGAGATGACAATCGCAACGAGAGAATCGCAACGCGAAATGAAAATCGCAACGAGAGAATCGCAACGCGAAATAAAAATCGCAATGCGATTTTGGTTTCGCGTTGCGATTCTCTCGTTGCGATTTTCATTTCGCGTTGCGACAGTCATTCTCTCGTTGCGATTTTCATTTATCTCGTTGCGACTCTTCTGCAAATTGAAACTTGAATGGATTGCATTACTTCAACCAAAAGACAGAACAAAGACAAAGACAAATACTAACTTGAAAATCGCAACGAGAGAATAGCAACGCGAAATGAAAATCGCAACGAGAGAATCGTAACGCGAAATGAAATCTAAGTGAAATGGTTAATCTATTATTGAAATGACCAGTAAACTTATCATCAGTTTCAATATGAAAAACCTACAATAATGCAAACATTTCAAAATAAAAATAATTAAAAAAACTAACCCTCGGAGGTTGATTTTCCATTTCTGAATATTGTGAGGGATTTCTGACCGTGAATGGTTGTGAGGGATTTCGCCGGAGATGGGGACGGAAATCTTCGGAGATGGGGACGGATTTCTTCGCCGTAGAGAGTGAGAGATGGAGATGGGACTGAGTTGTGATTTTAGGTTTTAGGTTATGAGTTGCGATTACGGGATTTTGTCTTAATATTCTTTTGTAATTTGAAAATAAAATACGCGTAGCGATTATAATGGCGCTTTAAATATCGCGTTGCGATTTACGGATACGCGTTGCGATTTTATGTATTATCGTTGCGATTTACGGATACGCGTTGCGATATACGGATACGCATTGCGATTTACCCATACGCGTTGCGATTTACGGATACACGTTGCGATTTACGGATACGCGTTGCGATTTATGTGTTCGCGTTGCGATTTTCATATTCGCGTTGCGATTTTGGAAAATCGCAATGCGAATTTGTACTATCGCATTGCGATTTTCAAGAATCGCGTTGCGATTTTGGAAACTGATTTGCGATTCTGGGGATCGCGTTGCGATTTTTATTTCGCGTTGCGATTTTGTTGGTCATTTTGGCAAATCCAAAAAAAGTTGGTTAAAATCGTATATTATAACTTTTTTTTGGTCACTGAGGCGATTTTCTCTTTAATTATTACCCTGTATCCGTGTCCTGTGTCCATATCTACCATTTGTCTGATTTGCCCGATTTCTTCTTTTTTGTTGTTCAATCCCCGCTGATTTTGCTTGGGTATCATCCTAGGATCATGAACTTGAGGACGAAGACGTTCAGATTATCAAGAAAGTGTGACCTGATTATTGGCATACATACATCATCGAATCTCTTCACCCTCAGAATCCCACACCCATCATCATGCACAAAATTGTCAGCTGCCATTTAGGAAATTAGGTCAAACGAGGTTGAATGTGTAATTAGAGCCATTTTGATCTGTTTATGTTTTTCTTTGGAGAAAATCGCCTCAGTGACCAAAAATATCTTATAATATACGATTTTAACCAACTTTTTTTGGATTTGCCAAAATGACCAATAAAATCGCAACGCGATATCAAAATCGCAACGCGATTTAGAAAATCGCAACGTTAAAAAGAAAATCGCAACGGTCAAAAGAAAATCGCAACGCGAGCTTCCAAGTTCGCAACGCGATTTAGAAGAAAATCGCAATGCGATTGATAGAATCGCAATGCGATTGATAGAATCGCAATGCGATTGATAGAATCGCAATGCGATTGATAGAATCGCAATGCGATTGATAGAATCGCAATGCGATTGATAGAATCGCAATGCGATTGATAGAATCGCAATGCGATTGATAGAATCGCAATGCGATTTATAGAATCGCAATGCGACTGAGAGAATCGCAACGTTGAAAATCGCAACGGTCAAAAGAATAGTTAAAAAAATTTTGTTTCTTAAGAATTTTCTCTAAAAAGATAGTATCCGCGCGGACGTGTCGAAGACACGTATTACCACGACCACGACCACGACCACGACCCGACCCGAGACGAGACGGCGGCGGCGGCGGCGGCGCGCGAGAGTCCCCCTTGTCCTCTTTCACTCAACAAGGAAGTGCAAAATACAAGCCTTAAATATAATTCACAATAGTGTTTCCAATACTATGTGGGATTGAGCATTACCAACACTTGTTCCCAATATATTATTCTTCATAAGTTATCATCCATTACAATATGAATTATCGATAATAAATTAATTCATTTAATAAGTATTTAAAATTATAACTTGATAAATACATGAAATAATTCTATATTAAATAAAAATATATTTTTTATATTAAAATTATTGAGATAGATATTTACTATAAAAGTAAAAGATTTTTTTTTCACGTACAACCTCTATGTGAATTAGTTTCACAATAAGGTATCGGTTATGCATTAGATTCTTTCGTATTAGATGGTCTTTAATAAGATCATCATCATCATTCTTTTGTTCAACAATACCATATATTAATGAGGTATATTGGTTCATTAACACGACTAATTCATATTGTAATGGATGATAACTTATGAAGAATATGATATTGGAACAAGTGTTGGTAATGCTCAATCCCACATAGTATTGGAAATACTATTGGGAATGGTATTTAAGGCTTGTATTTTGCACTTCCTTGTTGAGTGAAAGAGGACAAGGGGGACTCTCGCGCGCCGCCGCCGCCGCCGTCTCGTCTCGGGTCGGGTCGGGTCGGGTCGGGTCGGGTCGTGGTCGTGGTCGTGGTCGTGGTCGTGGTCGTGGTCGTGGTCGTGGTCGTGGTAATACGTGTCTTCGACACGTCCGCGCGGATACTATCTTTTTAGAGAAAATTCTTAAGAAACAAAATTTTTTTAACTATTCTTTTGACCGTTGCGATTTTCTTTTTAACGTTGCGATTTTCTAAATCGCGTTGCGATTCTCTCAATCGCATTGCGATTCTATAAATCGCATTGCGATTTTCTCAGTCGCATTGCGATTCTCTCAGTCGCATTGCGATTTTCTTCTAAATCGCGTTGCGACTCTCTCAATCGCATTGCGATTATATAAATCGCATTGCGATTCTATCAATCGCATTGCGATTTTCTTCTAAATCGCGTTGCGATTTTCTTTTGACCGTTGCGATTTTCTTTTTAACGTTGCGATTTTCTAAACCGCGTTGCGATTTTGATATCGCGTTGCGATTTTATTGGTCATTTTGGCAAATCCAAAAAAAATTGGTTAAAATCGTATATTATAAGGTATTTTTGGTCACTGAGGCGATTTTCTCTTTTCTTTGTTATGGCAAGTATAATACTTGGGACCTGAGTACACTAATATTTAAATGACAGAGCTAGTTGGGATATCTCAGAGAATTGTTAATTGGGTAAATTATGAGTTTAGTATCTAAACTCTCAGCTTTGATATGTTTTAGTACTTGAACTTTCAGTTTTTCCAAAATCATACTTGTTAAGAGGTACTAAACAATGACGTATTAAAATGAAATAAAAATTAAACTTTAGGTATAGTTTTAAAAAATTGAAACTTCAGGTTTTAACAAATTAAAACTGATAGCTTAGGCGTAGTTTACACTTGTTATTTATTAGATTCTCACAATTATTCGGTTTAATTCGATTTCAATGTTTGGTGTTCTCTTTATAATTCAAGTCCGCCTCAACTCGAATGCATGAAAATTTGATTGGTTTTCCAATTTATATGAACAAATTAATCCGGAGGAGTTCAAAATAATTAATAAGTGTTGCTTTTTAAAATGAATCAACAATAAGTGTTGCATGCAATGTTAATACGCCCTCCACTTGAAATAGTACAAATTCGAACATTAGCAAGAACTACCACAAATCTCTCAAGAATTCATTTTCATGAATCCAATACAACTCCACGAAGAAAAAAATAAAATTAAGATTTAACTTAAAACCTATTGAATGCGTCACTTGGAAAAGAATTGGCATTAATGTAAAAGAATTAACAATTATACAAGCACTAGAACTGTAAAAACCCCAGAAACGGAGGGCCTGTGAAATAAAATATCTTTTCGGAGGGAAGCAACGGATATGAAAGAATTGGCATGCCAATTACACAAGCGTAACGGGAGCAAAGAATGATATAGCAAACACTGCAAACAGTATTACATTAGACATTAATATCGGCTCGCTTTGACCTGGCACTGCCGTTGACTTCTTGGGAGCCGTTAAAGGAAAACCGTGGGATGTTGTAATTCTCAGTTGCTGAAACCGGCTGTTGAGGGTAAAGTGTGGGAGGTGGAGTTAGATTGCGCTGCGCCGGTAAGGGTGGAAGCATGTTGTACTTGTAAGGGTCGCTGCTCAAACTGCAAACCACCGGAGCAAACAACAGAGTTTTCATCCAGAAACAACAGAAATGATGGAGAGGGAATGATGGTGTTCCTTGCGTATAAATGTTCCCTAATAAGGTTAACTCAGCCAGACTTACCTTGTTCGCTTGTATAACTGATAATCATCACCGGAACTCTCATCTAAACGTTGAGAAGTTCTCGGAGCAGGAGTTATGGACCATGTATTTGGGGTTGATAAGTCGTCTGAAAAATATCGTCTCTTGATCAACTGAAACAAAGTACAGTATAAGTTCAGCAACAGCTAACCCACACGGAAAATAAGAGTTAGAATTCACATAAATATGCAATGAGGGCCAGCAATACCATTCGGAAAAATCTCATTAAGCCTTCCTTGTCGTATCTTGCCTCTTTGGCTGCCTGTAGAAATCAAGCAAAGTGTTAGACGTCTGCGTTTACCAAAAGCCAAAACTAACATTGTTAAATTGGGTTTGCCAGGCTCGTCAAAAGTACCGGATCTTTACCAACCCCAATGTTCTGCTAATGCTTTAAACAGTGAATCGTGATTTATTCAACAGTTAACAAACAAAGATGCCATCTTAAGATCTTTTCACTTGCAGAAAACTTCTTTAAGTAAAATATCTTCCATAAAAAGAGATTTTCCGTGAAAAGAAAATGAATTCCATATTTTGGACTTGAGAACAAAAATTTATCAGCAACGCCTACTCTAACCGGAATATAAGCAAGTGAATGCATAAGTTAAAATGATTACAGCGATAAGGCCTCCACTACCAGGAAAACTCTCAGTCAGCGGAAGCTCCTCACTAGATGGAAGTAAACCCTGCTTCTCGACCCATTGAAGAGCTACATCAACCAGATTTCCACTGCTACCTCTTGTACCCTCTTTAGCAGCAATGTCAGCTTTGTTACCTATAACAATATATGGGACAGGAAGTCCTGCTGGACCTCCAGAACTTAGGGGAGCTGAAAATGTCCCATTAGTCGCTATCTCAGCTGCCCACTGCTGCAGGCTTGTTTTTGTTCTCCTTTGGGAAAGATCATGAACAAAAATAACACCTGCACAAAAGTTTAAGGCAAAATCATGAGAGAAAATCGCTGGTCACAGAGTTTGCAGTAATTATACAAGGTTTTTATGGGAAGATGTAGTATGCAGATAATACTTAAGACCACTATGACAGAAACTATTAGTGCAACCATATTATATTCCTATCGCCTCAATTGAATATATGGAGGAACGGACAGTAACCAGCCATTCATATATATACATGTAATTGAACTAGAGGACTGATCAAAATATCAACCAAGTAATATCCATGGCCCTCAATCAGTTTCTTGTGCAATCAAAAACTCTATTTCAAACTAGTACTAAATTGAGGTGCCAATATGCCAATGGCAAGCTACCAGATACTAAGAGGGAGAGACTGTGGACTACTAGACTTGCAAACTAAGGTTCAGAAAATTTATGTACCAACAATTGTCGTGAACTAAAGACATTTGCTCAAGCAAAGAGGTTAAGAACATACCATTAATTTGTGAATAAAAAAGAGACCGGCAATCTTTGTATCGCTCGTGTCCGGACACATCCCAGAGTTCGATGAAGAAATCTCTCTCAGCATCCCCTTTCAAGCTACCTGAAGAGCTACCAGGGCTCCCATATGTGGTATGCTGTGTGGTGATGATCGTGGTTACTTGGTGAGTGAACTCAAACAATAACTTTATTTAAGGCAACAAACGAGTACTAATCTTACCTTCACACCAACTGTACATCCAATAGTTTGAGGAGGGCAAGAAGTGGAAGTGCCTTTGACAATCAGATGAACAAGAGAAGTTTTCCCCACACCTGCCAAAAAATAATAAGATGTCAAGCAAAAGATTGGCCTCTAGTAACACATTGAAAAGAAAAACATATAATATATTTAAGCATGAAAAGTAAACAACCTAGAACAGCATATCAAGAGTCTGCTTACTTCCCAAAAATGGTACAACACGGCGTCATAAACACCCAAGCAGTCAAAAACAAATTAATATAACATCAAAAGGAAACAGCAAAGGAACATGAAAGCAGTGAATCCATTGTAAAGATTTGTTCTCTTAATACAGAAAGTCATGAAACAGTCATCAACAAATTACCGAAGAACGGAAAATAAGGTCCTGCAAATTTTCCCTTAAACTAACTTGAAGTGTATCAATAACTAAAATGTTGAAGGCGGAATGGGGTATGGATAGAGATAATGTGTTCAAGCACTAGTGCTCACTCTTGTACCAATAAAAGAAGAAACAAAAATTAAGCTCTTCCCAGTTAGCTCTTAAAACTAATGGTATACTGCAAAACATACCAAGATATTCATATCTACCTTGTTCCTATTTCTTTCAAATCGTAACACATCATCCCATATCTTTCTTTAATGGCTTCAAATTTGTTTCTTACAACATCTACTCGACCAAAAGGAAAAACTGCGATAGTAGGCAATTATTTCACACCATAAACTACATTTCTCATTTCTAACAATAGTTTTATGAATGAGCATGAATCAAGTTCTCAGATCTTGATGTGCAAATAAATTCAATTATAATAACTTTTTAGTATACAGACTCAGTAAACACCCTATACAGCTACTATATATACAGAAAAAACATACAGGCAGAAAATTTTGCAAACACAACATATTAACACCAAAAAAATCAGTGATCAATAAAAAAAAAGCAAGTAAAATTCGATACCTGGATCACCAACAACAAGAACTCTAACCTGCCCACAAGGAGGCCCTCCATTGAGCTCTTTGATTTCCCTCTCGCGTTCTCTCCGAAACATTTTTCTCGCTCTTTTATTTTCTCAGGACCAACAAATAAAATTAAGAAGGAAAATAAAAGGAACCCAAAATTAATTTAAACTCAACTCTACAACAATGGCAAATCACATCAAAGGGACAAATTCAAATCAGAGCAGCGATTTCCCGAAATGGGTACCCAATATTTCGACCCGATATCCAATCTCACACCAAAATCCACTCAAGATCTACACCCGAATCCACGAACACGAAACTAGTCGTTTCTGAATCAAAATTGGATCTAACAAAAGGAGGAGTTTATTCAAATGGGTATATTTAGAATCGAAATACTAGATCTAGAAGTGGGTTTCTCGTTAAATTTCTGTTGACAGCTTCCAAATCTCACTTGATTAAACTTGGTTTAAAACTATATTTTCCCTGTATATTCGATGTTTAAGTGGGGTTTATGGGAAGATTAAAGAGGACTGGGAATTGATCAGATAAAACAAGTAAAAAGTATGGTTCCAGAACTGGTTTTCGGATGGATTGGTTTTAACTTTGATTTCTTGGGTTGATTAAACAGACTTGAAGCATGGATTTTTAACTCACGCGCTGAAATTCGCGTCAATCTTATGAGATGTGTACTTGTTTCCCGGATTAAAATTATTAATTATTATGAATGACACCTCAAAAATTAATGTTTAATTAATTTGATTCATATGAAGGAAAAATCATGTTATTCTGTCATTTATTTGTTTTTCAAGGCCATTGCCGTCTGGTTTGGCATCAAAGGGGAAGTAGTTGAAGAATCAAAGACCAAAAGTTCAAAACATAGGCTTATAATTGTATTTCTCATGAATTTTCTACGTTAAAGAAGCTTTTTTTAGTGCCTTGTAGCAGGAAGTGTGACAGAGCAAATCACGCTGCTTGAGAATTTAGGAACTTCTGTCCTTGTTTCGAAAAACCAGGCTATTTGATGTTTATTTTTTAAAAAAGTTATTCTACTGGTTTCAAATCATCGCTTTTTGTCTGTATCAGCTCCCGAACTTCATAAAATGATGATTGAGGCTGCGGGAATATTGGATATTGAACCTCCTGATCTCTATGTTCAGTCAAAGTCCAGTTCTGAATGCTTATACATTGGCTATAAGTGGTAAAAAACCATTTGTTATTATTCACACTAGTCTTGTGGAGCTTCTGACACGAAAAGAATTACAGGTCTTTATCATTTTTGTTATTCCCTTTTAATGTATTGACGGCTTCTCAAATCCTATAAGATGTGTTTCGTATGCGTATATGTGATTATACATGTCTAAATCGAATTACATGCAAATAGTGCTGTGAGTTAAATGATAAAATGCATAAGTTTTTTTCTCTGTGCAACTTCAAAATAGGCTGCTTCGGCTCATGATTTGGGTCATCTCAAATGTGATTATGGTGTATGGCTTACTTTTGCAAATCTTCTTACTCTTGGAGCCTACAGCTTACCTGGTATGTCTTTGGCTCTATCCATCAGTTGAGGAACTTAGCTACTTTGATACATTCTTAGCTCAGTGAGAGCAAATTATATTTTCGTAATATAAATTATCTTCTAATATCTTTCTGGAGACATAAACCATATCTTATTATATCGCTTTCTATAACCACAATTATCATGTTGTAGATAGCCTTGATAATCAGTGATTTATATAAAAATTTCTAATTGTGGAGGAGTGCTTTATATAGTCTAGGTTGCATACTTGTTGCCTGCATACACGGTTTTGAATACCTTAGTTTTTTTCACAGGACTTGGTGGTTTTATAGCTGAGAGATTAGAGGAACAGTTAATCCGTTGGCTTAGGGCGGCAGAGCTAACTTGTGATCGTGCAGCACTTCTTGTGCACAAGATCCCAAGGTATGCAAGAAAATCTCCGACGTAACCTGCAATTGAATAGTCGAGACTTCAATATCTAATTTTTGTTGTGATGCACATACAAGAGGTCGTCATCTCTCTTTTGATGAAATTAGCTGATGGCTGCCCATCATTGGCTGATCAGCTAAATGTGGACGCATTTTTGGAGCAAGCATCCTCTTATGGAAAAGCTTCTTCAAGCCCAATCGGGTGGTATATACGGTGAGCAATGGTTTTAGAGCATTCGGAACTGTCTTCTGCTTTCCTTTTGGCTGTCTAATTGCTTAATGATGTTCAGAAATGCTCAAATATGGCAACTTTCGCATCCGCTGCCTGTTCTACGTGCTCGTGAAATTGATGAGTGGTCAAGAAGCGGCGAATACAGAAGTCTTCCTAAACGTGCAGCTCAGATGAGCATGTAGACATGATAGAGATGGCAGCAGAGAGCAAAGTAAATGGAAGCAGCATTTGTAAAGAGCCTCTATAGCCTAACACTTGTCCATAAACATGATGGTTAGAATTGTGGAAAGAACCATAGTTGGATCTTCTGTAACTATGACACAGATGGATTTTGGGAAGTTATGGTAACATAGGTTTTGATACTCATATGAACAGAACACCGTATATTGTTGTTGTCGCAACGAATTCGAATATAGCCGTCTCTTGGTCCCATCGTATCGTAAAATACAATGCCTGCTATATTCATACGCTTCAATCACGGAGTGCCTCGAAATCAACCATTATCATATCCAAGATGCTGCAGCCTCCCAATATATCTGTAAACAACGATCCGGTTCGATCTCTTTTCGGCTGTTACATATGAACCGTGCCTCCGAATGTGAGTCCCGGGACTGTTCCATTTTCGTTTAGCACAACAAAAGGGGCACTGCTATTTTCTTTTAGGCCGAATTCCGAAAATAAGCTATCAACAGCGAAATATCTCTCGTCAGCAGCCATTAAAGCCAATCCATACTCCAAATATAGTGAACCTGGAAAGAAAAGCTTATCTCAAGGATTTGATCGTGCTAAGGTTAGCAAGAAATGTCGGGTTACAAGCTATATTTCTATTGGGTAAACTACAATTGGTCACTAAACATTACGTTTATATCAATTTTAGCATCGAGTTTTTTTAGAATGCTTTGATTTTAGCATTGAATTTTAATTGTGTTTAAATTAGGGCATTAGACTCTTAAATCGTTAATGACATGATCATTTTTTATCCGATTCATGGTTTAACAAACCATTGCTTTAATTGAAATGTAAAACATTTTAAAGTTTAGTACTGAAACCGATGTACACTTAATGTTTAGTGACTAATTGTGTAGTTTACCCACTTTAGTTTGACAATAGCCTATGTTCAATGAAGCCGCCCTCATTTATTCTTGGAACGCTATGCCTGTTATTAAAAAGGTAATGAGATGGAAGATAAAAAAAGCTGTCATTTTCAATCACTTATATATATATATATAGAAAGTAGACAAAAGAAGCACGACAAGCTCAAGGAACGTAACGTGAAGGGAGTCAGGTTTTGAGGGAAAGAAAGTAATACTATTGGTCGCTTTGATTAAAATATAATAACAAAAGATAAAGCTTGAATCTAAATGAATATTCTTCTAGCAATTTGCTTTAGATTAATGCTTGGTTGTTAATCTTTCCAGCCTGCCGTTTCTGACTTTTGCAAATGTTGATACTTGTATAACTGCTGCTATCCTATACAGGTTTGTGTTCATCCAACTGCTCCAATAGTTCTTTTATTCTTGGTAAGTTCTTTTTTCTTTTCCGACGAGATAGGCCGGTGACCGGCGATAGGAGAAGAGATCGAAGATCCGGGATTCAAACCGAGACATGTCGAATGCGATATGTGCTTGTGTGAACCGACTAGGCTAGACCGAGATCATCGGTTTCCTTTCTCTGTGTATTGACAGATTTTGGTCCAGCTTATTTGATTTCAAACTGACAAGAATTGTCCATTTGTTGCCGACAGATTAGAGGAGAATGGAGATGTTTAGAGCTTTTTTGAAGAGTCCCATTGGTCCCAAAACAACTCATTTCTGGGGCCCTGTTTTCAACTGGAGCCTCCCTATTGCAGTATTGCTAAATGAACACTACAAATTTCTTGTTTAAATTACGTCTGAGCTACGTCAAAATGATTTGTTGATCATCAAACTTTCAAGTGTTTTAATGACCATTTTGTAATATCCTAATGTTCGATGATTAAAAGATCATTTCGATTTAGTTCAGTTACCTCTGATGTCAAATCCAGTTTTTCTTGAAAACTAACACTGCAGTTTTAAAGGCATTTGTAGACACAAAAACCCCCGGAGATGATATCAGGCAACATGACTGCAGGTCAGTCGATCTCCGAATTCGACACACCTTTAATAGTCTTAATCGAACGAATGCGTATCGTATCCGACGCTCACACTCGAGTTTCCGAGCACCGTATAATATGTTTGCTAAATTAAGGCCATTGATGTGTTTTGTTTGAAGTAATGTGCGGATACTCGGCATTGTTCATGAGATTTGCATGGATGGTACAACCGCGCAACATCCATCTTCTCGTCTGCCATGCCTCGAACGAGACCGTGCAGCTTTACCAGCTCTCCCGTTGGATTAATGCTCAACAGTAAGCATCGTTCTTTTATTCGATCGACCTCGCAATATTCGATACGAGACGAACACGATACGAAAGAAAACATATGAAATTCGATTCCGAAAAATATCGAAATTTACACGAACGCGAACTAACTCCGGATTTATGGTTGTTTTGTACAGGAATTCACAGAAGAATGATGAAAACAAGACCCCAAGCAGCAACAAAGAGGACTAGTAGTACAATAGTGAAGTCATCATTATACCTTGATGTTCAGTAAAAACTCTAATTGTAAAATTTGCTTCTTTCTCATGAAGATTTGTCTTTGTTTAGCTTATCTGCAGTTCACCTTTGATTTGCATGGTTCTGGTTTGTTTAATATTAAGCCTTTTGTGGTCTGGAAACACATAACTATAGAAATTGATCCGATATTATAAACAGTTGACCTAGCCGCCCTAAAAATTTAAAATTATCATATATTTTAGATATTTATTGTAATTTCTATTAAAAATTTGTTTTCGTCCTCCTAGAATTTTATAACTTCAAGTTCGCTTATAAATTTTATAAGTTCAAATTCACCCTGACATAAATTATACATTTAAATTAAATTTGGATTTCAAAATATTTCAATCAAATTTAAAGGGTGTACTATACATTTATACATAAACTATCAATTTTTGGTATGTTTTAGTACTTAAGCTTTCAATTTTTTTCAAAATCATACCTAACATTTATTTTTTATTCATTTTAATACCACGTCATTAAAAACTTAACGGACAGGCTGATGGGGCATAGCTCCGATGGACAGAAGACCAATTCGAACGGTGGACCACCAGAGAATGATGAGTCGAGCAACATAGTCCAATTTTAGGCCAATTAGATAGAGACGAAGAAGATCGGAGAATAAAGAAGTCGAAGAGTCTATCGTCGATTAGAAGATTGAGGCATTTTCTTGAAACAAAAGTCAAATCACATTCAGGGGTCGAAAAGGTACGCTAGAAAGTTAAGGCTTCATCTGCCGATAGATGCGACGGTTGACGATTGTATATGCGACGCTCAACGAGCGCATTCGTTAAATTTTTAACGGTGGATACTAAAATGAACCAAAAAAAATAAAGTTTAGGTAATGACTACTGATGGGTATTGAATGGATAATTTATCCAACTTTAAAAGAATTAAACTTTCTCATTCATTATTTATAGCTCGATTAAAACCTTCGCGTTCGATGTTTAATATTCGATTGATACGTTGTTCGTTGATTTTTAATGGAAAAAAGAGTGGAGTAGTCGATAGCGAAGATCTAACTATACAAGAGATTGACGAAGACAATTATTAATTTTGTGATGAAAATAAATAAATTTAAAAAATTTCAAGGTTCATTCTCAAATCCCAGTCACCACTCTTCTTCTCTTTTGTCATTCCAATATTTTGCTTTATCAAATTCTTAAAATTAACATTTGAATTTTGCTTTATTTTTAATTTTTATTACATTTTCTTAGGATTAACTTTTGAGTTTTGCCTTCTATTTAGTTTTTTTTTTATTTACACGAATGCAATATAGACTAGAAGGTTTGAAGACATTAGTTTGCAAGTCATGATCATGTTTAAAACATTAAACGATTAATAAATTATGACAGATGAATCATTATCATTATTGGTATATGTTTGTGATATTTTTCATCTCTTATTTTATGCCTCAAATTGATTGAGGTGATTCTACTGCATTATTTGAGTCTTTCCATGGAAAGATTGGATCTGGACTTCTAAAATTTATTGACACTAATGTCACCGGTCTTAAATCACCGGCCTTCAAAAGTTGAGAACAAAATAAAAATACTCATTCCAACAACAAAAATGTTTCGGTTTAAATGCACAGGATTTTGCTGATAAATGTCCCATGCAATCTGTTATTTCTCTGGCAACCTGTTCAAGAAAATTCCCAGGATGCAATGACCGGTACGCCAAAATCGCTCAGTTAACAGAAGCCATGTGCCGGATCAAGTCGATCACTCGGGAACTATAAGTAAAATTGAGAATTAGACAAGTGGCGTTTAAGGTATTATCAAGCTATGGAAATAAGGAAACATATGAATTTATACCTGTAACCCCATTCGTTGTCGTACCAAGCAACAAGCTTAACAAAGTTGTCGCTCAAAGCAATTCCTGCCTTGGCATCAAAAAATACTAGACCTGTAATGAAACACAACAGAATCTTATCTCTGATCCCAATTGCAGTTTATGAATTTTTCAGATACGTAAAACTTCGAATGTGCCAGAAAAAATAAAAAAATATAAAATTGAACTCGGAATGAAGCTTCGCACCTGGAGTCCCCAACAAAGTCTGTTGAGACTAAATCTTCATCTACATAACCAAGAATTCCCTTCATGTTGGTTTCAGATTCGTTCCTACATGAACAAAAGTCGTAAAAGACATCATTATAGAGATTATCTATATTAAGGATGTACATTAGGACAACTTAAGCATGAATCCCGAAGTTCGAAATATCATTAACATTATAAGTTAAAAAACATTCTAATCCTTACTTGATGGCAGCCTTAATATCTTCATAGGAAGCCGCCTTCTCAAGTCTCACCGTTAAGTCAACCACAGAGACATCAACAGTGGGAACACGGAAAGCCATTCCGGTGAGCTTGCCATTCAATGACGGCAAGACTTTGCCAACAGCCTATGCAATTACAAAATAACCACCACAATCAACCATCACACTTCAATTCCATCAACTAATTATAAAAATTACTGAGACCGCGTGCTTATAATCACTCACTGGTGGAAGAATGCAGGGACTAGGGTGTCAAATTTAAACATACCTTGGCAGCTCCAGTGCCGCTAGGAATGATATTGAAGGAAGCAGCTCTACCACCTCTCCAGTCCTTCATTGATGGCCATCTACAGTCTTTTGGGTTGCTGAATTAAAATCACCAAGTTAGTTAAATAATAAACACACTAGGCTGCAACAAGAAGCAATAAAACGCCATATGTACTTACCAGTAATCGAATGGACAGTGGTCATAAGACCCTCAACAATGCCAAACTTGTCATGGATGACCTGTCACCATATTACAGATCAAATAATACATCCAGATAACAGTGTTATACCAATACTCTGCACGGATAAGAGAATTCATTATTACTTACCTTAGCCAATGGAGCAAGGCAATTGGTGGTGCAACTAGCATTGGAGACAATGTTAAGGTCAGCCTTGTATTCCTTCTCATTGACACCCACAACAAACATGGGGGCATCCTTACTGGGAGCAGAGATGACCACCTTCTTTGCACCACCCTGAAAAGCATTTTAGATAAGAATACCAAACATTAGAACTTTCCCTGGATCAGATAAAATACGGACATTTTAATTCCAAAAAATTTTCTCATATGGCCCTCAAATAAACCAATTATCAAGTCACTATCACAAACCTTCAAGTGTGCAGCAGCTTTGTCCTTATCAGTGAAGACACCAGTGGACTCAACAACATAATCAGCTCCGGTCTCACCCCATGGGATTTCCTCGGGGTTTCTAAAATCAATTGAAAACAAATCAATAAATAGTTTATGTGGAAAAAACCGCAATGCTCTTAGATTCAATTGCAAAATCTCTTCAAAAAGAAAGATTTATAACCACCTGAAGCCGAAAACAGTGACAGGCTTTTCAACAAAGAGCAGGGTCTTTGAGTCCTTCACCTTAAGTTCATGGTGCTTCCATTGACCATGAACACTGTCGTACTTAAACATATAGGTCTGTGCAAATCATCAAATCATATCAAAAATCAAATCATTAAGTTAACAACAATAGCCAACTTCATTCTTTGTTTTAAAGTTGGTTAATAGTAAATCTATCCATCAATAATCTGTAATAAATGGAATTTAAATTATTTCCAGCTAAAACCTATTAAAGATGTAAGAAACAAATCAGGAAAATAAACTCAAATAATCACTTTCTTCTACTAAAAACCAGATAAGCTCATTTTCCACTAAAAAACATTCAACACAAAAATTAAATCAATGAAGCGATCTACACACATGCAAGCTAGCAAATACAAAGCGATGCACAAATGCGCGCATACGAACCATGTAATCAGTGGTGATGAAAGGATCGTTAACGGCAACGAGCTCAATATCATTGCTTTGGAGAGCAACTCTCGCAACCAGACGGCCGATCCTTCCAAATCCTTCACGGAACACACGAAAAGAGATCAGATCATGACTTTCTTCCAGAAAGTAATAAGTATTAAAAGACGATAATAAAAATGAATACCGTTGATTCCGATCTTGATCTTAGCCATGGCGGAGAAACAAAAGCAAATATTAACGACGATAATAGTAATTGAGAAGCACAGGTGCGTTGATAGTGATGACCGTAGGAAATGACTTGAGAAGGGTAGTTTATATATGAGAGGGCTTTAACCTAAATGGAGGAAGCGTTAATTTGACGGCAATTTAAGGGGAAAGTAGGGACCACAAAATATGGTCAGTGTTGATTGATTGGTTAAATGTGGAGAAGGAAGAAACTGAAATGGTATCGGTGCGGGATGAAATTCTAGATAAATCTTTGAAAAAATATATTTCAGGCATTAACTAAATATATTGTAAAATAAACTCTGTTATCTTTGAAAAAAATATTTTATTATTGAATTTATTGAATCGTTTTAATAATATATTATTAATAGAATATTATTTTTCATGAGATTTAAATTTAAATAATTAAATTTATAATGTATATGTATATCGGTAGTTTAAAAATCTGAACATATATTATCTTATATTTATATTATAATATTAAAAAAATTTAATTAATTATTTTTGTTGAGAGATCTTTCAATTACGTAGTAAGACGAAATATTCAACAATTATGTGTCAAATTTAGAGATTATCATTTTACTTGAATTTGATATGTTCTAACTTAATCATGTATGGTCTTTTTTCTTTTAAATGAGTTAAGATCGAGTTTAAATTTTTGGAAAGAAAATCATCAATTCGATATGAAATAATAGTATATTTTTTTCTCTATATATTTAAGGATAATTGTTGTGATACTCATCTCTTTATGTTTTTTTTTTCAATTGCATCCCTATTTTATTAAACAAAAAACTATTTTTATCTTGATCGGGTCGAATTTGATTTTTTACCTCAAAACTTAGGTTGAATGAAACCTCCCTAAATATGAAGTAGATTGAGTTTCAATAAAAAAATATTTTTCTAAGATCAGATTAAATTGATCGAAAATTTGACCTAGTCCATAATTTATCCCTAATTGTATTCTTATAATAACAATATCGAGAAATGTATGAGATTTTATCTTTTACCTTGTAACAAGTT